AGGAAGGCGTTGGTACGAGAGGAGTGTTGCGGTAGAAGGTTGCGGTCAAGGAATTGAATCATGTAGTCGAGGCGTCGGTTGGTGGAGTGGAGGGAAGGGTAGGAAGGCTGCGAATCATCGTCCGAGGAAGAGGCGTAACGGTCGAAGATTCTGGGACTAGGAGAGGGAATGTCCTCGTTGGCGTCCATGTTGGAATTCATGCTAATGCTGGAATCTAGCTTAGTGTGGAGAATAGAGATTGAATGAGGAGGAAATTTGACTTTGCAATACTCTTATCGGTTCGTTAGTTGGTTATTCAGGCATTTTCTATTTGTCTGAAACCACGGACCCTTGTAGCACTGTAACTAGTAATAAAGTTGACTTTACGCCACGACAGATTCTGGTCGGACGGACTTCCCTCCTCTTTACGCTCTCTTCTTAACTACGCGGATCCCCTATATCTATTTCTTCCTTGATTAAATTACGAAAATATTTTTAAGAGGAATAAATAAGATACATTTTAAATTTACAAAAATATTTTCACAATTTTATTTTAGGAATAGAACTTAACCATAAAATTTTAATTGAGAAGAGAATTACAAAATAACATGTGAAAAGTTAAAATTACAATTGGTACACTTTAAACTAAAAAACAAAGTAATATTTTATTATTTTTTAAATAGTAATTTTTTTAATAATTTTATAATTTTAATATATGCGTGTGTGTGTGAAAGAATGTGAAATTTTTAGATTTCCTCTAATAAGTAGATCTGTCTATGGGCTCCACCATTTTATCGAGCCAATGAGCCTGATGTGACTGGAGCCGAACCTTGGACAAGCTTTTTACGCTCGACCACGATCTAGACTCATGATATTATTATATTAATAAAATATTATTTTTATTAAAATTCTTAAATATATAAACAATAAAATACTAATACAAGAATAAATTTAAATATTTTCTAATGAATTTAAATGAACGAGTCAAGTTCAGCCTTTCCAAATGTCAACCAAGCCTGTCTCATGCCCCTAGTAATTGGTTTATGGGTTCGCTCTTTATTTTAACTTAACACTATTGTACTAAATAAACATGTATTAATAATTACATAAACTTGCTTGCAAAATTTTAAAAACTCAATCACTCTTGCATAAGATTATAATCTTTTAAAAAATAAATAAATTCTATTACAATTACCTATAAATCCTTCTGTTTTCACCCTCCAATTAGATTTGATAATTCGTATTTTTATATCTAAATCGTATTACATAAACATAATATATTAAGAGCTAAATGAGTAAACACGAACACGAGAAATTATTTATCATATCAAAATTTGAAAAAATTACATGTATATATTTAATAATTATATAAAACAATACAACACAATCAACATATTTATTAATCATGTCGGGTTAAGTTTTATGCGACACAACATAATTAAAAACAAAATTAAACAATTTACATGATTTTATTTTTAACACAATTAAATTAAAATACCTACAATTAAAATATAATTTTATCATTCAAATTTAAAATCAATAATCGTAAAAATAATTATAATAAGATGATAATATTATCAAATATAATAAAATTTAACATCAATAACATCATAAAACCTATTATTATAATAAAATCCATCACTATCAATCAACCCTAAAACTAAAATTCAAATAACATCCACACTCATTAATCAAAATTCTCAACCATAATTAAATACACATTATCAACCATGAAAAAATCCAAACACCAAAAGGACTCCCTTGCCATGACCGCATCATTCCTATGTCACAAAACCTCCTTATGAAATAAAAAGAATATATTAATAAATTAAATCAAAATAAAAAAATTTAAATAAAACTTAACGGCACTATTAACCTTTCCATCATGATTAATCAGCTTCAACAGTATTTAAGCATTTTGCTGATGATATTTCTGTTGGGATTCGACCTCATACTTAAACATGAAAAAAAATCAAAAATTAAAATATAACACAGCGAAAAAATAAAAATAATTTTTAATAAGAGAAACAGTCGAATCCTACAGGATCAATATTTGTGTTTTTCATATAACTTTCAAATAAATTATAAACACTCATAGGTTTAAGAGTTACATACCTTACTCTAGATATTATAATCAAGAGCTAATTAAATCCAAAAATAATTACTTCTTCACCTTTAGGATTTGTCAAATCTTCAATCACCCAAGTGCTTAGCCTTTGACAGTAATCCACACAGTGACTGAGTAAAACCTTCTCTAAGGTAGGATTTTACTTGTACTAACAAGTTTATTTTTAAAACAAAAGGACTAAAATTCTTGCCGAATCTTTTTTTTTCGGACAAAGAAAACTATTTTTTTTCTTATTTTATGAAACGGCTGGAAAGTGGTTGGAAGCTTCTGATTTTTAGTTTGCTAATATAACATATTTATATAGCCAAACTAATTTGTAACCCTAAACAACAGTTGTATTTTAATTTAATTAAGTCTCTGAGAACTTAATTAATTTCTCACTTTATTTTGATCTCTTTCAATTAAGTCCAACTTAATTAAATTATTTTTATTTAATTCCAATCATGTCACTTAATGTGTGTGACCCACTAGGCTTCTAACATACTGACAATAAATATAAATTATAATCAAATGTCAATTTGATAAATAATTTATATTTATAGA